AGAAGAAGAAGAAGAAAAAAAAAAATCAGTCATATAGTTGCATATAGCGGAAACACTGGCCCTCCAGAGGCAGATCAGTACGTTAGCCATTTTTCTTTAGATTACTGAAATGTTCAACCACTAATCCTTAGCCATATTTTAAGTGTAACCCTTCACCATAACACACCACTAGAGTTTTTATCAGTAAATATAGAACATTTTTCACACATAAAAAGCACAAAGATGTTGAAATCTAGGCATTTTCTGCCATCATAACTTGGCTCTCAGAATTCACCAGATTGATGCCTTTAAATCAAATATATACAAAAATTTTCTCCCGGGGGAGCATGTCCCCGGACCCCCCTACAGGGTTATTTATTTGTTGTTGTTGCATTACTCTTGCTAGCCTAGAATTTGATAGTAATCACATGGAATAATTCAAACCCTTCATTCCAAATTATAATGAACCTAATCAACCTCCGCCTTTTTAGTCAAATAATGTGAACATTTTCTGCAGCTGGGCCAAATCCCCAAAATTGTTTCTCAAACAATTCAAGGCATCTAGAGGGTGCTTCCCACTCACTTTACTGGTTATTTCTTCAGAATGGCTTTGAGAGGGCGCTGTCAAAATACCTTGTCACTAATTGACCCAAACACCTTTAAATACAGGTCGACAATCACTCTTTCAAAGCCTCCACTCCTCTCTTTGTCTTCTCTCCTATAAAATGTCAAAAATGAATTCTGGAATGTACTCTTTCCTGCTTTTCCTCTGAAATCAGCGCTCTTTCATACAGGTAAACCAGTTTTGCCAGTCTAATTCTGCAGTCTAAGACGTCCTCTTAGACTGCAGAATAAATGGATTGGAATTTGGTGGTTGAAGGTCAAAGGTCAGGACTAATGTGACCCTGTTTTTGTTTCATATTAATTATAAAGTTCCACCCTAACAGGCTCAAACCCCCCGACCGCCCCCCCTGGTGCCGCCTTGGTTGAAAACGCTGTGCATTCCGAAAATGAGAGGATGTGTTAGTGACGTGTTTAATTGTCCAGAAAACATCCAGTCTCAGGCCTTCAAATAATAATCCATATGGGTGGAGTGGTTCATATTGGTTTGCAGACCGAACAGCTAGGTTAGCCTTCACTCTGTGAGTGATCCAGATTTAACTAGCCAACCATCTACATATGAACAGAATTTTTTATGTCATATTTGAGCCCAGTGACGGACGCTGGTTATCTGCTGCGTGCTCCGCCATCCGTCAACACCCACCGGCAGCGTTTCCTGTGCAGAGCGGTGCAGCTCCGCCGGACAGCGGGAGTCACGAGGGCCTATGAGATCTCGCGAATTCACGCATAATTGCACGATATAACAAGATGTATTTTCTATAAACAAAACCGCAAAACCAGAGGAGTAGTAGGAAGACATCTCGGTGCACCTCCATGATTAACATCTCTTCATCCATGGTGTCAACGGGGTGAAATGACATCTTAAAACCTCTGACCTGTTGACTTCAGGCCTGCCTCTGCCCATTAGGACTTTTTCAAGGGAAATACGATCCGCCGTGAACAATGTGCATTTTATTTTGAAAATATACCGGATGTTTTATTTTGCTTCTGTGCACAACTTCCTGCCCCGCATGATCTGCTCTGTGCTGAATTGCTGCGTTGTGCTCAGGCGTCTGGAAAAAATAGAAGTCCTGCGTATCTGTTGCGGAGGGCTCCGGAGCGCTGCAGAGCGTGACGGAGCCGGAACACAGCACAGCCGCAGCCGGTGGAAGCACACACATTGACTAGAATTGAAACGTATCGGGAGCGCAGACGCAACCAACACGCATCTGGTGGAATTTGGGGGTTTTGGCTGCCTTCTTGATTAACAAAACGAGCAGATGTGCCCTTTTGGCTGCCCTCTTGTCCCCATGTCATGCAGTAGGTGCCCTTTTTTCCTTTTCGCCCCTGCCCTTCAAACATCCTGAGTCCGTCACTGGGCTCAAATATGACATAAAAAATTCTGTTCATATGTAGATGGTTGGCTAGTTAAATCTGGATCACTCACAGAGTGAAGGCTAACCTAGCTCCACATTTTCCACCCTGTTTGGTCTGTAAACCAATATGAACCACTCCACCCATATAGATTATTATTTGAGGGCCTGAGACTGGATGTTTTCTGGACAATTAAACACTTCACTATTCTCATATAATGCAAAGAACTCTAAAACCCTGTTTTTTTTAAAAGTCACGAGACCAAAATGTTGCTGCACAACAGGGATGAACTTTTTACGCCCCTGCTTTTATCTCACAGCTGTAGTTACTATTTAATTTGTCACTTCTGACATTCAGAATCAGTGAGCAGTCAGCACATTTTCAATTCAATTCAATTCAATTTTATTTATAAAGCCCAATATCACAAATCACAATTTGCCTCACAGGGCTTTACAGCATACGACATCCCTCTGTCCTTATGACCCTCACAGCGGATAAGGAAAAACTCCCCAAAAAAAACCCCTTTAACGGGGAAAAAACGGTAGAAACCTCAGGAAGAGCAACTGAGGAGGGATCCCTCTTCCAGGACGGACAGACGTGCAATAGATGTCGTACAGAACAGATCAGCATAATAAATTAACAGTAATCCATATGACACAATGAGACAGAGAGAGAGAGAGAGAGAGAGAGAGAGAGAGAGAGAGAGAGAGAGATGCAGGTAATGACAGTAGCTTACAACAACATTATTGAAAGTAATAATATTATAGTTATAGTTCTGGCTACTGTGGTACAATATGTTGAAAGTATGTATTAATATCTGGCAGTATACATGTGTGACAATAGTCATATGTGTATAATAACAGTAGAAGTATGACTAATGACTAATGATGGCAGCAGCAGCAGGAGGCATCTGGCAGGACCACGGCAGCAGCACAACCACACACGTCACGCTGTCCAGGCACCGCTGCGATATGAGTTAATCTGAGAGACAGTGGAGCACAAAGGCTCCGGAGAAGAAGCCGAGTTAGTGACATCCAGAATGGCCGAGTTAGCAAGATGCAGTAATAGGATGAGAGTGAGAGAGAGAGAGAGAGAGAGAGAGAGAGAGAGAGAGAGGGAGAGAGAGGGAGCCCGGTGTATTATAGGGGGTCCTCCGGCAGACTAGGCCTAAGTCAGCCTAACTAGGGGCTGGTACAGGGCAAGCCTGAGCCAGCCCTAACTATAAGCTTTATCAAAGAGGAAAGTCTTAAGTCTAGTCTTAAATGTGGAGACGGTGTCTGCCTCCCGGACCGTAACAGGAAGATGATTCCACAGGAGAGGAGCCTGATAGCTGAAGGCTCTGGCTCCTGATCTACTTTTGGAGACTTTAGGGACCACGAGTAACCCTGCGTTCTCAGAGCGCAGTGTTCTGGTGGGATAATATGGCACTATGAGCTCTCTAAGATATGACGGAGCTTGACCATTTAGAGCTTTATAAGTTAACAGTAGGATTTTAAATTCAATTCTGGATTTTACAGGGAGCCAGTGCAGAGAAGCTAAAACAGGAGAAATATGATCTCGTTTCTTAGTTCCTGTTAGTACACGTGCTGCTGCATTCTGAATTAGCTGGAGAGTTTTTAAGGACTTACTAGAGCTACCTGATAATAGAGAGTTACAGTAATCCAGCCTTGAGGTAACAAAAGCGTGGACCAATTTTTCTGCATCTTTTCGGGTCAGGATAGGCCTAATTTTCGCAATATTACGCAGATGAAAAAATGCAGTCCGTGAGGTTTGCTTTAAATGAGAATTAAAAGACAAATCTTGATCAAATATTACTCCGAGGTTTCTTACGGTAGTGCTAGAGGCCAGAGCAATGCCATCTAGAGAAACTATGTCATCAGATAAAGAGTCTCTGAGTTGTTTGGGGCCAAGAACAATAACTTCAGTTTTGTCTGAATTTAACATCAGGAAATTGGTGCTCATCCAATTTTTTATGTCTTTAAGGCAGTTATGGAGTTTAGTTAATTGATTACTTTCTTCTGGCTTCATCGATAAATACAACTGTGTATCATCCGCATAACAATGGAAATTTATAGAGTGATTTCTAATGATGTTACCTAAAGGAAGCATATATAGAGTAAATAGGATTGGTCCGAGCACAGAACCTTGCGGAACTCCAAAACAAACTTTGGTACGTAAGGATGATTCATTACGAACGTCAACAAATTGAAAACGATCAGATAAATAAGATTTAAACCAGCTTAGTGCTGAACCTTTTAGGCCAATTAAGTGATCCAGTCTCTGCAGTAGAATTTGATGGTCAATTGTGTCAAACGCCGCACTAAGATCTAATAAAACAAGAACAGAGACGAGTCCTTTGTCTGAAGCAATCAGAAGGTCATTTGTAATTTTAACTAGAGCTGTCTCAGTGCTATGATGCACTCTAAATCCTGACTGAAATTCCTCAAATAAATTATTATCCTGGAGAAAATCACACAGCTGGTCTGCGACTACTTTCTCAAGGATCTTTGACATAAAGGGAAGATTAGATATTGGTCTATAGTTGGCTAACACCTCTGGATCCAGGGTGGGCTTTTTTAGGAGAGGTTTAATTACAGCTACCTTAAAAGACTGTGGTACATAGCCTGTTAATAGGGATATATTGATCATATCTAATATATGAGTGTTAACTAAAGGAAAGACCTCCTTAAGTAGCCTAGTTGGGATGGGGTCTAAGAGACACGTTGATGATTTAGATGAAGAAATCACTGCGGTCAATTCTTGAAGAGAAATTGGGGAGAAGCAATCTAAATATATATTAGATTCTACAGCTGTGTTTGAGGTTAGATAGGTAGGCCTACCATCTGAGGGCAGGAGGTCATGAATTTTGTCTCTAATAGTTAGAATTTTGTCATTAAAAAAGCTCATAAAATCAATACACAGTTACTCATCTACAATTAATCTGTATGTGTTTTCATTCTAAGAACATATAATACTGACATGCATGTCATATGATGTGGGCAAGTTGGATCACTCCGTTTTTCATTCAGTACAAATTAAATAAGATAGACAGTTGTGAGGCAACGTGGCCAAATTATTTATTTGTTAGTTCACATCACAGTGAGCGCTACTACAAAAGAGACATACTCCTGGAAAGAAACACATCACCATCGTTATCCAGCTCTGCACCAGTGTGGCCAAATCATTTATTTTTTACGGGACAGCATGTGGACTTCTGTTATAATAGACACAAACTCATCGAAAGTAATTAAACCGTCGCCGTCTTCATCCAGCTTGTGGAAGAGTCTGTCCACTTCAGCTGAGTTTTTATCCTGAAGAAAGAAAAACAGTAGAAGTTGTAAGTAGATTGTAGAACGTGAAACAAGTGTCAGAAAGGCATTCACAGCTCTCTGTTGCAAATTACAGCTTTTCTACTTACTGCCTCAGGAAACTCAGTGTGGAGCAGTTTAGCAAAGCATTTCTTGGTCAAAGCGATGTATTCTCCTTCTGGTCCAGTGTATTCATTAAAGGTCCTTATAATGGCATACATTGCCTGCTCGATTCTTGACATGTTTGCTGGAATGAGAAAATAGTGTTGATTGTTGATCAGTGTATTTATTCATTCATTCATTTTCATGGCTGTGATAATGCAGTAATGTGGTAATGCTTCATGCTGAATTTAAATACACGTGTTGGACTCTATGCTTTGGAACATCCAGTTAAAACACAGGGAGGAGTTAAATGAGTTAAGATAAATAATAAATAATACCGTTCTAGTGACCACTGGTTGAAACAAGAGACACGATCAAGTATTGGTGGTGCAACAGAGAAACAAATTGGTAGTTGGGTGTGACAGTCCAGTCTCTTAAAGTTTCTTACACAATTCAAGGCATCTTAAAGCATTTCACACACTTTACACAATGTTCTGAGGGGCTTTGGTTCGGCACTGTCGCACACTGTCCTCACTAACTATTTTTTCCCCCAAAATTCTTGGTTGCTTTGATTTACTGTACTCCCACAATTGTCATGAATGTAGCAGTACATTACAATTAGAACTGTTATAATCTTACTATAGATTGACATGTTATATTCAGACCCAACAGTCCACACAGTACACAAACCACATTGGGAAGCTCATTGTCACTTATTGCTCCAAATCAGGTATCAAATATTTAGATAAAAAAATGCAAAATTATTAATGCTGTAATTAAAGAGGATTTAAACATAATTCCACTTACCGAAATTGTATGATAACTTTGAGAGGTTGAGATGGAGGCAGAGAATGATTTGTTGGATGGACCCAAACCTTTTTAAATACAGGTTGACAAACCCTCTTTCAAAGTGCCCACCCCTCTTTCTGTCTGTTCTCCTACAAAATGTCAAAAAAACAATGCTGGAATGTACTCTTTCCTGCTTTTCCTCTGACATAGGTGCCCTTTCACACCAGTTATACTAGTTTGGCAAAATCTACAAGTAATAACCCAATAACCTAATAGTAAAAACGTTGAATATGATTTTCTGAAATAACAGACCAAACAAATACAAAATTTATGATTGAAAAATGAAAAAAGAAAATGAATATGTCTTCCACTTTTGCTACCAAGCACCTAAGATAGCCGTCCACAGTCTTCCACTGAGGGGGTCAAAGATCTTAAGTTTTTCTAGGTTAAGGGAAAGTGACAATGACTTCAAGATCACCGTCAAAACATTCCAATCAGTATAGATATATCTACTTAAGTACCATCTTACTATATAATGATGAAAACTCTGTGTGTGTGTGTGTGTGTGTGTGTGTGTGTGTGTCTGTTCCATGTTTTTCTCTTCACTGACTTGGTCAATCCATGTGAAATTTGGCACAGTGGTAGAGGGTCATGGGAGGATGCGAATGAAGCAATATTACATCAATCGTCCAAAGGGGGGCGCTATAGCAACCGATTGAAATTGAAAACTTTGAATGGGTATATCTCATGCCCTGTATGTCGTAGCGACATGAAACTTTGCACAGAGATGCCTCTCCTCATGAGGAACAAATTTGCCTCAAGGACCCATAACTTCCAGTTATATAGATTTTCCACCATTTTGAATTTTTTGAAAAACGCTTAAAATCGATGTCTTCCTAGGAAGTTTGACCAATTTGCATGAAACTCGGTGAACACAACCTAGGGACCAATATCTAACGTTCCCTCTTGGCAAGAGTTGGAAAACTTACTAAAACTGAGCTTCTATAAGGCAATGAATACTGCGGAGGGTGTGGCTCATCACATAAAGGTGTATAACATCTCAAGGGTTTCACCAATCACCACGCAACTTTGTAGGCATATGACCACACATAATCTGAGGGGACCCCTCCATTATTGACCCCATCAAACAAAATGGGGGCGCTAGAGAGCTAATTTCTTATCTAGGCCAAACTGCCATATTGATTTTTACTAAACTTGTTTGTTTCTGTAATGCATTTTTTGCCTATATTTGACAGGACAGTGAAGCCTAACAGGAAGGATGGGAGAGACAGCAAGGAAGACATGCAGCAAAGAACGAAGGCCGGATTCCAACCCACACTGCTGCAACAAGGCCTAGCCGCACTTTTCCCATGTGAACTACCAGTGCACCCCACTTTTAAGTCAATACAACATATAAACACTTTAACTATCTGCCTTTCAACATGCTACCTCACCTACTAATGTACACTTGTAGCCAACTAACTATCCCACTATTGGCAATAGTACTACTGTACTTTCAATAAAGCAATCGTACTATCAAATTCACATAAACCCTGTCTGAATACATTGCTCTTCTTAATGGGTTCAGTTGACTATTTAATCTGCAATTTCCTATGACCTGTATCCCAAACACACAGCATGTGAAACTGTACATGGGCAACTGTGCACTCAATGGGTATGGACTAGTTATAACATATTCATAGTTTCCATATATTGGATATTTTAAAAAAAAAAATCCTAAATAGATTATGAATAACTTTCAATGGGTCCTTGTTGAGGGTGATCCTGACAACGTCCATGCCAAATTCAATGAGATTTTATTACACAGTTAATGATCTCAAAGGGAAAGTCAGTGCAAATTACCGTATAACACATAAATAATTTCCTTATAACAGATATTTATTCAAAAAGTCTATAAGAGTTTATAAGAAACTTTCAGTGGATCCTTGTTCAGGGTGACCCTGACTACGTCCATGTCAAATTTCATGAAATTTTACTGTTTATCAGAAATTTAAAAGGAAAGTCAGCCGAAAAACTTTTATAACTTCATCATTTCTTTATATTAGATAGTTATCAAAGAAATCCATAATAGGTTGTAAGAAACTTCATATAGATCCTTATTCAGATAGATTCTGACTATGTTCATGTCAAATTTTAATGGTAGTATATTGTACAATTAATGAGAAAATTAAATTGGGAAAGTCAGCTCACATTACCTTATAATATATCCATAATTTCCTTATATTAGATATTTATTTAAAACAAATCTTAAATAGGTTCTAAATAACTTTTAATGGATCCTTGTTGAGGGTGACCCTGACTATGTCCATGTGGATCATTTCTGATCATTTTAATACTTTGAACTACAAGTTCTCAACGACTGTAAGGTTAGGCCATGGTTTTGCACATTCATTTGCATTCCTGGGTTGGCGCGGGCTTCCAGCTTCTCCTCCGTAGCGGACTAGGTTATAAAGAAGTAGGTGGGCTAACCTTTAGCTGGTCAGGATCAGTGTGGCTGGGTCGATCTTATGTTGTAACAGGGCGTTTATTCATTTGGCTCCACCCACTGTACCCAAAGAGTAGAGGGGGGAGCCTGTGTGACATAGAACAGAGATTACAATATTGTAACCTTAGTTTTATTAGTATTATTATTAGACCTTGATGATTTGGCAAATGTGGACTTCAAGTACCTACCCCAGTATGGGGACACAATATGCTAGTTCACATCACAGTAAGGGCTGTTACAAAAGACACATACTCCTTGATAGTAGCAACAGTAAGTAAATCATTTATTCTTAATAGTACATCAGCTTCATGTCTGTTGCAATTTTGACAAACTCTCTGAAAGTAACAGCATCATCTTTGTCAGTATCCAACTTGCGAAGGAGATCATCCACATCTTCGTCAGTTGTGGACTAAAGAAATAAACACAAAACAGTAGGAGCTGTAAATAGACTGTAAAGCATTTTAACACATGTCAGAGAGGTTCACAGATCTCTGTTGCAATAGTGTAACATCTTTTGTACTCACTCCCCCTGTAAACTCGCAGCGGAGCAGGGCACGAATTTCTTCTTTGGTCAAAGTCTCTTTGTCTCCATCCAGTCCAGCGTAGTCCTTGAATGTGGCTTTGAGGAGTTCCATTGCCTCTTTGATCGGTGACATGTTGGCTGAAATGAGAAAATACTGTCAACTGTGTATTCCAGTGTTTATCTATTTATATAGTTTACATGGCTGTGATAATGCAATAATGCTGAATTTAAACTCTATGGTTGGACTCTACTGCTTTGGATCGTCCAGCTGAAACACTGGGAGGATTTGAATGAGCAGCTTGCTCAGATCAGAAATGTTGCCGTCCGACACACTTCGGCATTTTTCTCATTAAAAAAAGTGATTGGGTTTTTTTTTATATTTAGTACAAGCTAAATTTCTGATCTTCTGATCTCTCTTTTGCTTCCTTGTCATCTTTCTCAGTCCCTCAGGCATAAATTCTACATTTCTAGTGACCACTGGTTTAAACAACAGATATGATCAAGTATGGGTGGTGCAACAGAGAAGCAAGTTGGTAGTTTGGTGTAACAGGCGCATCTCTAAAAGTTTCTTAAACAAGTCAAGGCATCTAGATGCTGCTTCCCACTCACTTTGCTGGTTATTTCTTCTGAATGGCTTTGGCTCGGCACTATTACACACTGTCTACTTACTAACTGGTTTTCCCCCAGAGCTCTAAGTTGACTTATTTTTACCAAATTCTCACCAATTCTGCGACTGTCACTACTTTAATATTCAAATTAAAAAAGTTATAATCTTACTATGAAATGACATGTTAATTCCATTCAGACATAGCACTCCACACAGTACAGAAACCAAACCAAAAACTAACTTATGTATCTTGTGCCCCTTATTGCTATGTATCAGGTATTTCTTCTTACCGAAATTGTTTGACAACTTCAGGAGGTCGAGAGGTTGAGATGGAGGCAGAGAACGATTTGTGAAGAGAGCACGGACACAAACCTTCTTAAATACAAGTTGACAAACCCTCTTTCAAACCGCCCACCCCTCTTTCTGTCTTTTCTCCTACAAAATGTCAAAAAACAATGCTGGAATGTACTCTTTCCTGCTTTTCCTCTGACATAAGTGCCCTTTCACACCAGTTATACTAGTTTGGGAAACCTACAAGTAATAACCCAATAACCTAATTGTAAAAACGCCGAATATGATTTTCTGAAATAACAGACAAAACAAATACAATATTTAAGATTGAAAAATGGGAAAAAAATGAATACGTCTTCCACTTTTGCTACCTCTGACCAGGTGCACCAGTTTTGGTACAACTGCTACGACTTACATAGAATTGTCATGCAAATAGATGATTGCTTGTTGTGTTGTAAATAATGGTGGTCAATATGATCTTCTTCCCAGTCCATGTGACAAGGGATCAACCAATCCTTTCAGTACATTTACATGTAGAAAGAACATCAGTTTTCTGACATCAGGGCAAATACTGACCATAAGTTTTAGAATTACATCCTGTATTTGTAGGGTGGATCCCAGGGCTATCAGTTTTTTTTTACTGGTTATCCAACCTCTCGAGCTCCATCAGATTGGATGGGAAGCATCTGTGAACCGCCATCTTCAGGTCTCTCCACAGATGTTCTTTGGGTTTTAACTCTGGGCCTTGGTTAGGTCACTCTAATTGTCTTGGCTGTGTTCTGTACTGAGAGGTGATCACCAGTCACCCCAGTCTGAGGTCACCTGCGCTCTGGAGCAGGTTTTCATCAAGGACCTTCTGTATTTGACTGCATTCATTCTTACCTCAATGTTGACCACTTTCCTGGTCCCTGCCTCTGAGGAGCACACCCATAGCATGATGTGGGCACAACCATGCTTCAGCTCAGGGATGACATTAGCTAGGTAATGAATAGTTAAATATTTGTCTTATCAGATCAAATGCTGTAGAAATGGTTTTATACCCTTGCTCTGATGTTTGCCTGACTCAATTCTATCATAGAGATCTGCAGGGAGTTCCTTGGACTTCATGAGTTGGTTTTTGTCCTGACATGCAGTGTGAATTGTGGAACCTCATATTAACAGATCAGTCTGTCACAGCTGGATTCAAATCAAGTTCTAGTTATGGAGTGAAGACCGAAGGGTATAAATAGCAGTTTTATCCATTTAGAATTTAATCTACAAAACAATAAAGTGTACAAAAAGCAAAGGTGTCTGAATACTTTCACTGTACACAGATACCCATAACCTATAAGGAAATGTTTTTAAACTCAACCTGGAAAAATGTTTTCATAATAATAATAATAATTTTACTAGTAATAAGAAAAAGAAGAATACGAAGAATTATCTTAATGTAGCTAATTAATTTGTAACCTCTGACACTCAGAGTTAGTGATACATGCTCAGCGTCAGCACATTCCAAGTCCCCCAAGCCCATCTATGATGCCCATCGAAGTTTTCATTCTGGGAAAATATGATAATGACATGTATATTATATAAATGTGACTGTAATATTTGGGCAAGTTGGACCACTTGGTTTTTACATTTAGTATAAATGAAATACGTCAAGAGAGGTTGATCAATCTGTCAGTCAATGTACTTATTCGCCCCGTGAAATCATACAAGATACACCTCGAATGTGACAATATTTTTTTATTTGTTACTGAACATCACTTTGACAACCGTTACCATGGCGACAAACTCCTTGACAGTAACAGCACCACCACTGTCCTCATCCATCTTGCAGATGACAGTGCTCACTTAAGATAGGCATTTGTCGTAAAGAAAGAAAAACAGAAGCAATTGTAAGTAGATTGTAAAACACAAGACATTAGTCACAGAGACATTCGCAGCTCTCTGTTGCAATAGTATTACATATTTTCTACCTGCTGCCTAGGGAAACTCTTTACGGAGCAGCTTAACAAGTTCTTTCATGGTCAACTTTCTTTTTTTTTCCCCAGCAATGTCAAAATGACAACACAGGAATCTACTCTTTCCTGCTGTCAGTTGAGTGTTTATCCATGGTCAAACATAAACCTACATTTACTACTATTTGACAGCTTTACTGTTAATTTCACCTCTGCTCTGATGGCCTACACCTGTCTGCTCTCGGCACATACAACATCACTGTGTCTCTGTTTCTTCTGTTCTATGCACACACAACGCACCAAGCTCAGTGGGGTGGGGTCAGGGTACGACTACGAGAGAATCTTTGCATGTTCTGCAGTGTTTGTTCAGTTTGCTCTCATCATTCGACCTCACCTATTTGCAAAAGTAAATAGCTGAAGTCACAAAAACACAGCGTTGCGTGTCCTTTATATTTCTAGTATATTTAAGTATATACAGAAATACACAGAATACGGAAATTTGGGAGCTTTCTTAGTGGGTTTATGGCGTATTCCTACGTATCACATAGACCACTAATTGAGGCCAGTGTTCTCCCTGGAACACTCAAAACTTCAGCAATGGTTTTATAAGCTTGCCCTGATCTTTGCCTCCCCACAACATTATCATGGAGGTCTACAGAGAGTTCCTTTAGACTTCAGTGGTTGGTTTTTGTCCTGACATGCAGTGTGAATTGTGGGACCTTATGTACCCAGGTGTGTGCCTCTCTAAACTATGTCCAGTCAGGTCAATTTGCCACAGGTGGACTCCAATCAAGTTTTAGACACATCACTAGGACATTTAAAGCAAACAGGATGCTCCTGATCGCAATTTGGGGTGCCGCAGCAAAGGCCTGAATACTTTAATAAATGAGAGATTTCAGTTTTTTATTATTAATAAATTTGCAAAATTTACTTTACTTATTTTGGTGCAAATGTTGAGTATAAGTTTGCGTATCATTTCCTTCATCAGTCAAACTCACACAGCTGGTTTTGCAGGGCGGACCCAGGACTGTAAAGAACTCCTGCATGCAGTAAACCTGACAGGCAACCCTGACAACCATGTTGTCATAAGAGCTGGAAAGTCCTTTACTGACAACACCCACTGTAGCTTTCCCAAACTGTACCTGTTTACAATTTAAAGTATTATTAACAGACTTTATTACTTTTTTCACCACTACTTTTATATCACAGCTGTAGTTAACTTGTTAATTTTTCACTTCTCACATTCAGCATCAGTGAAACACAATCAAAGTCAGCACATCTGAAACCCCTCAAGCCTCCATAATAACCCATCGATGATTCATCTGTGTGTGTTTAACCATGTTGATGATTACATGCATTTTATGTAGATGTTACTGTAATATTCACCCTGTTTTTTATTTAGTACACAATTAAAGAGGTGTGAAAGTTCTGAGGCAGTGTGGCCAAATTATTTATTTCAAACTGCAAATCATAGTGAGGGCTGCGACAAAAGTGACATTGTCTGCTTCAGCTTGGTTTGTGGGCTCAAGAAAGACAAACAGTAGGAACTGCAAGTAGATTGTCAAACTCAAAAAAAAAAATTGTTGTCCAGTGTTTATTTACTTATCTATTAACATAGCTTTGGTAATGCAGTAATGTGGTCATTCTTGACACTACAATTAAACACAGAAGTTAGACTCTAGTGTTTTGCAACATGCAGTTGAAACATTAGGAGGAGCTGGGTGAGCAGTTTGTTAAGATGAGGAGTGTTATTATCCAACACACTAACACATTTGTCAGATGAATAAAACTGAGTCTCAAATAAACTGATTCATTGGAGGCTACAATTTTGATTTTCCCCATCTCTTGTACATTTCTGGTGGCCATTGGTGCTAAACAAGACAGAACGGTTAGTGTTTCTTCTCAGCGGCTTTGGTATGACACTGTCTTCACTCACTAATTTTCAGTTCCTCTCAGTTTTCCCAACCTACTGCATTACTTTTTCGACTACAACTTTTCATACTTTTTTTGCCCTGAGTCCTTGGTACCTTTAATTTACAGAATTCCTACCAGTTTCCCAATTGACCTTTCATGAAGCCAAAACAAACATTCGGCCACAGGGGGATCCACAGCGATCAGTCGCATTTTAGCCATTTTTAGGCATTTTTCTGTTGTTATAGCGCCACCCAGTTGCCAATTAGAGTTAAATTTCTCCAGTCACCTTGAGGCGTCCTGTTCTACGTATCTTAGTAAAAATCAATATGGCGGTTAGGCCTAGATAAGAAATTAGCTCTCTAGCGCCCCCATTTTGTTTGATGGGGTCAATAATGGAGGGGTCCCCTCAGATTATGTGTGGTCATATGCCTACAAAGTTGCGTGGTGATCGGTGAAACCCTTGAGATGTTATACACCTTTATGTGATGAGCCACGCCCTCCGCAATATTCATTGCCTATAGAAGCTCAGTTTTAGTAAGTTTTCCAACTTTTGCCAAGAGGGAACTTTAGATATTGGTCCCTAGATTATGTTCACTGAGTTTCATGCAGATCAGTCAAACTTCCTAGGAAGAGATTGATTTTAAGTGTTTTTCAAAAAATTCAAAATGGTGGAAAATCTTTATAACTGGAAGTTATGGGTTCTTGAGGCAAATTTGTTCCTCATGAGGAGAGGCATCTCTGTGCAAAGTTTCATGTCTCTACGACATACGGGGCATGAGATACCCATTCAAAGTTTTCAATTTCAGTCGGTTGCTATAGCGCCCCCCTTTGGCCAATTGTAATATTGCTTCATTCGCATCCTCCTATGACCCTCTACCACTGTGCCAAATTTCACATGGATTGACCAAGTCAGTGAGGAGAAAAACGCGGAACAGACATACACACACACACACACAGAGTTTGATTATATAGTAAGATATATGTATTTACGTTTATTTCATTGTGCAACAAACAAATGTGGTTAGGTTTTTTAAAAAAACATGGTTTAGCTCTACAATCATACTGGAACTGAACACCAACCTCCTGGGTGAAAGTCCAGTGTTGCTGGACCCATCCACCACCCCTCCTACCTGCAGTTCCTTAAATTACATTGTTGTCCGGTGACATTTAAAACTGATGCCACCCGACAGTGTAACATACTGCCACAAAGAGATGCCTGTCTTTCTTTTGTGTCTGACGTGGAAATCGATGACC